TGTAAACACGTTAGGCAGAGTTAACAGATAAAGGATTTACCGAAGTAAATAACGTCTCAAAAGATGCGAGTGCGCACATTTTAGTAAAGACAGCTGAAGAATGTTGGTAAAAAAGATGCCATAATAAAAGCGAAATGTACTGGGTTATATTTATATGCACATGATTTGATATGTTTCTTTTGCGCGAGACGTGTTAGATTTCTCAGTTAATATTGATAACTCTAAGTCTCTCATTGAACTATTTTTTTTGAAAGCGCATGGGAACTCCACTCATACTCTAGCTCAATTGATTTGTAATGAAAATAAACCAGAGAATCACACAGGCATGCGTGACTTAACTACACATAAACACATTGTAGAAATACCGGCACTCATGAGCCACAGGAAAACCTCAATCATAATGCTATTAATATAATATTTATATAGGGCAGTAAAATGTATTAGGGGTCCGCGTCCGCCTTTTATCTACACCCGGGTGAACTGTATGTGTGAACTGTATGTGTATGTGTATCGACTTCCTTTAAGGTGGTCCTAAATTTAAAACATGTGATGTTAAAATGTTGTGACGTAATTACCGAAAAGGTCCATTTTAAGTGTTTGTACAAAATTTTTGGAGCAATACAACAAAAAAAGGTTTTTTAAATTTTGTATTTAATATTAAACTGACATTATTAATCTATAATTTAATATTTACGAACCATTATATTCTCTTATTAGTTTCACATCAATTCTACAAAAGAATATGGCAAAAATTCTTTTTGATATCAGATCTGCGACCAATATAAAAAAAAGTATACGACGATTCGGGAACTAAAGCTGATCGAGGTATTAGTGTTTTTACAGCCTCGATGGAGGATATTCCTGAAGGCTACTATATGATAGGCCAGGCTGCAGCCCGTCAAACTGGCATTACAGATATACCCAAATCCTCCATAATCCTGGTGAAGCCTTCCGATCCCAACTTCATAAGGATTCCACTAGATTATGAATTGAAATGGAACGATAAAGATTCAAAAGGGGACTATGCTGGTTCATTTTGGAGAGTAATTGCACCTAAAGGCTACGTGGCACTGGGAGATGTTGTTACTGGCAACTACTCACAACCGCTGACTGCATTTACCGACAAGTTTGCCTGCATTCGACAAGATCTGTTGGTTCCAGGTGAAATGGACCCGCACAGTTTATGGGATGATAAAGGATCGGGTGCAGCGTTGGCAGGATCAGTTTGGGAAGTTGATGGTCCAGGATGGCTACGACATGCCGCATATATCTGTCTTTGCTCTTCCTGCCAAGGTTGCTTAAAAATAGTAAAACTTGTGACATTCAGTTTGATTATATACTGAAACTTTATTACTTAATTTAGATTGATGCATGGATGGTGATTTAGATTTGTGTACAACATATTGCTACATAATATTTTCATGGGAAATATACCTTGGTTTGGGCGCTTACATTGTATAATTTCTGCACAATGCATACTGGAATGACCAGTAAAAAATGGGCAGGGAAAATGGTCGAATTCATTTCAGTTTTGAACAGGTAGTGTCATCATTCTCGTGTACGGGTGAACCATATCCCCATTTAGCAGTGAGCAGACACTGCTAGAAAGGTATACACGTTTCTGGGCTGGCTCTATTTCAAGACTTTGTTTGCCTTCTTAGCCCCCAAAACAGTCTAGTTCTTCGACGGAGCCTACTAAGATTTTAGTTTCAAGTTCGAACATGAATATATACATGATATTTTCTGTCCCATTGAGGTCTATTATAAGTAAGAGTAAAAAAAGGCGACTCTGGGTATCATATTTTTTGGGTCTTCATGGTTCAACCTACTGCATGTTGTTTGAACGAGGCGCGAAGTGGAGCTTTGTGTCCGAGAGTATCCCGGAAGAAGAATGGCTGGAACATCTACGTTAACTTTTCTCTCATGCAGGTAACTCAGATAAGATGATAATGTTGGTGAATTAGTCAAACTGACTCATTTAACATTAACGGGGTTCTATTAATTTAAAAACTACAAGACCGTAAGTAGAAGATTGCTCGTGCATGCTCGACTGATTTCTATTTTGAATTCTTTTGTTCCTACAGTATGTAAACATAAATATTTATATTTTTTCATGAAAATCTGCCAATGCGATTCCGATTTTAAGCTGTAGTCATTTATTCATACCCTAAAATCCTAGATCCGCCACTGGAGGTGTGCTCGTTAGATCTTGACAAAGAGGTGGGTTAAGAGGTGGATTATGAGATGAAAAACAGACAGGGTAATTGTTTGGGGAGGGGCGATTTAGTGTTGACGCAATTATTTATAACTAAGAGATGTCTGCATGTATCACGAAAGCTAAAATAAGCAAACTTAAATTTTGTCGCATCCAATTTACTTGTGGTGTATGTTTTATATAGTCTGTTGACTTGCAATGTATATGGACGTCAATTCCACTAAAATAAGTGCTGTGCTGTTTTATCAATAACCAACTTCTTTCCATACAAGCAACCACACACAACTCAAGTAAGGCAGAATAAGGCTGCCTTGTAAGAAAAACTGTTAAAAGGAATTTGCTTAGCTTCTATTAAGTCATAATTTGCATGCGACACAAATATTATTTTTCATCATGACCTCTAAGAAAAGAATGAAGTGAAAATATAAAAGTCACTCTTGAACACAAGATCTCGTGGTTTAGTGGTAAAGACAATTTTCTCGAATGTGGTAACCTATTGTTGGAATCCCAGCATAAGTCTTTTCATTATAGTCTTTGGGAGAACGATAACCATACCCGTTCAGCCGAAGATCTTGTTGTCTAGTGGTGAAGACAATAATGCCGAAAGTAGCAATAAATATTTCGAATCCCTGAAAACCTTTATTTTATCATGACCTTCGACAAAAGGGTGAAGTAATTCTCTCAGAGCGCGCTAGACAGTCTAACCGCCTGAAATCCTAAAACCGTCTTACATGAAGTTTGCGTAAAGCGAGAGCGCTCGCCAAAAACTATGGTCAATTCAATTGACCAAACGTTCACTCGAACGTAAGATATGAATAAAATTTCAAAATATCAATGCATATGAGTTATTCTTTGGAGAAAATTCTTTCAAGATCTTAGTATGGAAGGTCAGTATTCAGTAAAGTCATTTAAATATAAGATTTTGCACGCGAATGAGTCGTATCAGATTGTTTATCTTTAGCTATTATCTTATACTAGGTTACCTAAAGGCAGTAGTGCTGCCTATACTCTTATAGAAATAGCATGCGCAAAATGCTTGCTTGTTAAAAATTCATACCATGGTTACGCAAATTATAGTCAAATGTTATACGACACTTCAAATTACAATAGATCAAAGGTCAAATTCCAAATGCGCGAGGTATTTGTGAAACTAAAACCCTGAGGCTTTAGCCCCTTAAATAAAACAATCAAAGAACTAACTTAAAAGTTAAATACTTATACATGCTTTAGTTACGCCACACAGGTTTACCCCAATGATAAAAGTAAAAGAAAATATGTTTCAAACCTTTTAAAAAAATCGAAATGACAAAGCTATAAAACAAGTGACAGTCAAATGTTATACGACACCATAAAATCACAATAGATTAAAGTTCAAATTCCAAACGCGCAAGTATTTGTAAAAGACCAAAAGCACAAGACTCCAATTGCCAAGTAACGGTATGGTTCACCATGTCGCTTTTGGTGTCCGTTTATACAACAGTGATGCGTCATGCGAGCACAATCTCACGGCTAACTCAGTGTCTGCCTTCCAAAAACACTTTGAATTTGAAACACTGACCGTATAAAGCATGGAGTCGTTTTATAGCATACCGACCGCATTGCATTGTGGTAGGAGATCTTTTACCACAATGCAGTGCGCTATTTCGTAAATTTGCTTCCCCTACTACACAAATTAGGGACTGCTGCCTTGCTCGGTCGCTCAGGCGACCTCGCTGCGGCAGCAATAAATGCACAAGAGGATGCTCGGATATTATATAGCTATTATAGGTGTATATTATAATACCCTGGTTTTTGTATTAATAGACGTATTAAATCGTATTATGTGATGGTTTAGACCCTGACGAGAGAGGGGGATTCAGGCATTCCTTACTAAATATATATTATTAACTAAGAAACAATATTAAAGGCAATCTATTCGAAAATAAAGTAATGAATTTTTCAGAATGAATTTTCAGATTTTATTAACATTTATTGTATTCTACGCAATATCATCCACCGCCATGTTGTTTGCGTTAGTTGGCAGATCAGTGTTGGCAAAGGATTGGAAATTTCCTCTTCCCATTATACTCCGCGCGCTGATAACTGTCAGGATACTTCATGTAATAATAGTAAACCTAAGCCTCTGCGGAGGAGAGAATTTAAGTTAAATAACCATATTGCCGTTTGCAAAAACTTTGGTTGGCTAGTGGTTATCTCGATAGTTCCATGTGTTAGCTGTTGATGGTTCAAATCTCGTTTAAGACGTTTTAAATCAAAGTTTTCATTTTTAATAGTACAGTACATGGTAAAATTAGGTTAAATAAATCGCTGTTGGTTTTCAACAATCACCAGTCAGCCTTGTGGTAAAATCACGGACTACAGACAGATCGAGGGAGCAAGAATTGGAAGATACCGTCTCTCATTACGGTTAGGAAAAAGGTAGTTGTGGGTATGTTGCTCCTTATTCTCGAGATTACATTACATTACATTGCGAAGATATTTCCTTAAAAGATCGATACGTACCACCAGATGACAACTCAGACAGGTATCGCCCTTTCTGTGCAATACCAAAAGATCTTGATGCCTGGCATGTGCGATTCCTTCTTTCTTTAAATATGGGGAACAGCGAACTGTGGTTGTGAAGCTGAATGTTGGTATATTCTTTCATTTTTCTCCTATATTCTTTCATTTTCTGCAGGATGAAAACTGAAATGTATTTAGATATATTTGAATTACGTGACTTAGCTACATCAGGCCGGAATAATGAAACCATTTTACAGTTACAAAAAGATCAGCTCTTAAAATAGTTGAACAAAAAGTAGTCTATTATGACAGCTTCTATGTCACAAGTAATGATAATATGACTTCCACATATATCAATCACCAGAAACTGTTTTATTAAATGCATCAAAGTATTTTATGTGTCATCAATAAACATATAAACTCTATACCCACCCATGCAAAGTCTATGTTGTTTTTAACACCTGGTGTAAGAACCAGTTAAGCAGTACATTTAAACTAACCAACTTCCTGTCAATATCAAAAGTTCTATGTTACTATACTAGTAATAGTTCTAAGAACTATGATGCATGATTGTGGTCACAGCTAAGTTTAAACCAGTCCCCTTCTAAAAGGCTCCAGAAATTAGCGCCCTTTCTTGTGGGATATTCTGACTGTGCCGAGATGACTTTTCACCAGTTGCAAACTTGTTGGCCAGTCTTCTTCCGGGATACTCTCGGCAACAAAGCTCAAATTCACGCCGCGTTGGAATAACATGCAGTAGGTTGACCCACCAAACATGAAGGTACCCAGGGGGTCGCCTTTCTTCACGTTCTCTCCATAGTAGACCTCAATAGGACAGCTTGAGATCTCTGCCATTCCGACAGCGATGAAGATCACCGTACCAATAGCCGAGTGGCCTGTGTCGATGTGGATTATGGCTCGGGTATTCACGTGACTGAGGTAGCGTTGGGAATAGGTATTGGCTGTTGGATCATAACCCATTGAGAGAGCTTCTGCGTAGTACGCGCCTTCCTTGATGTATGCCTTGGTTATTGTACCATCAACTGGTGCATGCCAGCGATGGTAGTTGGCAGAGCTGAGAAAGGCCTGGTACACGGTCCCGTCCACGTACTTTTCAGTCAAGGCGTCGTCATCGAGCAGATGTTGCAAGCTGTACGGTTGGGCCTTGATCCAAAATTCATCGCGGTGCTTCGGCTGTCTCTCGATAAAGTACGGAAAGGCTTCGCAGGGGGAACAGATGACAAATGGATCATTGGGATGGGCGACCGGGCGTACGTCCACGTCGGTTCTCAGTTTTCTGGCGAAGAAATCATTCCATGACTTGAAACCATAGTACACAGGATCACTCATATCGACTTGGTACGTGTCAAGAAAACCAGGCATTGTCGCCAATGACTCGGGGCACAACCATCCATCCTGCAAGAAAATATCAGGATACATGAAAAAAATCTATGGGTGTCTGTAGAAACTGAAAAGAACAAGCTACCAATGAAGGTCTAGGTTTTAGCTTTGCTATTGGATTACTAGGTCGAGACTCAAAAGATGTGGCGAGGGAGGCTTCTATATTTGTATGGAAATGGAAGATTTAAGGTGGTAAAAAAGTTGTAGTAAAGTAAAATTCCTTCATTTTATGGGATGAAGAAAATATCGAAAGTGGTCTATGGCAAAAAACAAAAATTCTTCCATCTGAAGATTTTAGAAAAATATGCTACAATAATACCGTAGAATTCAAAACTATTTTCGAATCTTCGTTGCTCAAGTACTGCGCCCAATCCCTTAGAATAAATCTGAAGCACTTGTTGACTTTATCATTGATGAAAGCCATGGTTCCAGGAGGGGTGGCCATCACGTAGACGAGGAGGCTGTTAAGAGGGGCACTGCCAAGCACGCTGTTATATACAGGGGCTCCACTCATGACAGTCTGCATCTTCAGTAACATATCCATGTAGTCTGAGATGGGGCTCTCTGGGATGTCTGGGTCGGGGAATTTGTAAGTAAACATGGTTGAAAAAAGCATGTTGACTTCTGGGTCAGTTTCGATCAGATCTTGCAAGGCCAACAGCGAAGGACGAGTAAGTTGATCTGCTCTGCGCATCTGCTTGATATACTTGTAGATTGTTTTGAGGTCGGCCCCAAGCCAGTTTCCGAGCCGGTATGTTTTCGACATTTTTTAAATCCTGAAAGAGATTAGATTTAATTTGATAACGTTAGTACACTACTAAAAACCCCAAAGAAACAATTTTTAGAAACATTGGCCTGTCATTTAATCCCCGAGCCGGTGCAGAGCACCGTGCGAGGGTACCAATTCCGCCCGGAGATTATGAATTACACCTGGAATCCGGGAGAACATAGCGGAATGTAAAGTTGTACAAAATGTCATGGACCTTGGACGCTCAGTGGTCATGGTACTTGCACGCATGCGCAAAATTCGAACGAGTAAAGACTGGCAATGAGCAACCTACTGATTGGCTAAGACAAAAAGTTCATGTATTTCAATGAAAAACGTCAGAAATTAACTGTCGTTTTGGAGACTATTTTTTAAAAAAAATGTTTGGTATTAAACTCGATATAAAATGTGGGGTCAAACATAATGATACAAACACACGGAAAAGATTAAAAATTCAACGCTAGCGGTGAAAAGGAAGGATTCGTAGTTTATAATACTTGAAGCGGTAGGTGACTGTCTATTTTGTCATTTTTTGTTTGCCGTAAGAATGCATTTTATCTTTATTGAATTATTTGAGTGTGAACCGTTGGTATGTCGGTTTGCGTTGATCTTACCGATTACTTGAGGCTTTACTTCATCGTTTTAACTTCAAAACGATTTCTTTTAAGTGTAATTCGTAGTTTTGATATAAAAAATATCACTTTAAAGCTTTTATAAAGTCGACTACAATCTCTGCATAAATTCAGTCAATAATCGAAAAACCGACATTCGACGTTTAAACTTAAATGCTTGGCCTTGTGGATTTAAATTATTTGTGCTGTTTTGATGTTTTGAAGGTTTAGCTATAGTGAGGTATTAACTCTCACTTAAACTGTGAAAGTCTATATGATTTCATGTAACGTAATGCAGCAGGAAAACGGGTGATTTTACTTCACCTAATCTTATATGACTTTTGTTTTCAAAAAAATTGAAACATCAGCTATCGGCTTTATATTTAAGTTATTTCATGATATAAGCATAAAGGGTTAGGTCTGGATAAATTAGGAAATGATTTCTGCTTCGTGTGAAATGGCGAGGGGTTGCTGCATGCATGTATTTCAAGTTCATTTTATATAGTTGTTGTGTATGTATGTATGTAAAATCCTTAGCTTTTAAAATGCTCGATTTCACGCACGATCGATCTGACATTGTCTATAAGCAACATTTAAAACGAGAACATTTGGCCGTGTGCGTGTCCAATGATAGCAAAAGCACGATATTTAATTATTTTGTCTTTAAGGTGAGCTTTTTAATGTCTAAGTTTAAGTGTTCAAAATTCCATTGCAAATGGGCCAAATCATCGTCACATTCATCTGTTATTTCATCGATATTGAAGTGATAATGCTTGAGATTTATAGTTTCCCTCATTTGTCTCCGTTGTTCTTACTAGCAGTGTAAATTGCGCGAAAACAAACGCGTTTCTACATAAAAATAAATAGATTTGCTTAATAAGTGCCGAGCTTATATGAGAATGTAGTCATGGATTTTTCAAACAGTGGCTTTGATTCACGACATCATTAACTTACGAGAAAGGTCTAGTATCGTCGCAAAGCAGGTTTGGTAATTCGATGACGATGACATGAAAACACAAAACTCTAAAGAATCAGGTTAGTCGAAGGCGAAGCCATAAGTGTGTTGAGAAAAAAAATTGCATTTTAGATAATTATGTGGTGCGAGTGCCTATACGTCACCGTACACGATCAAGCTAAGGTATCAGCAGACTGATTTTTTCCCTTTCCGAACGTCCAGCAAATTAAAATTCTGTGAGCAGGCAAGATTGATTTAAGATATTCATCAAGATATTTTAGAGATGGACTATAATTATACGCGCATACAATGCTTTCATCGCTGCGTAAAATTCTATTTAATATTGCATTTTGTAAACTCGCATTTGTTCGAACAAAACGTCAATCTTGATTGACAAGCCAATTGGAAATATTGGGGAATCACTTTTCATATACCCAGTACGAAATATTCCAGTCATTGTCTACCAAGTGTATGCACAGGGTAAAGCTTTTGAACGTTTAACGTTGATATAAATTTAGGCAATATTTATCTGGGGACCTAACTCATCTATAAACTAAGATTTCAGTTATGCGTGCATGCACTTGTAAATGTAACGGATATCGGAAAGGCGCGTGAGGTCGATGACAGTTGTAAGTGATCAATCAAACTGAAAGGGTATTAATTTCCAAGCCGTTCATTAGGACTACAATCACGAAAAAGATATCACTAGTTTGCAGACGGTTTAGGTGACGAGAACGATGCTATGGTGCTGCGATGGAGTATATATTATACAATAGATTTGTAAATCCAAATCTCCTCTTTTGTTCAGTGAATCCAACATGAAATTGACACTTGAACACTTAAAGCAACCTGGTCATAACAAAGATGACTTATGCGTAAAAGAATTGATAGCCTCTCCAAGCATCAGTGAGGAGTTTTTTAAACCGTGGTAAACTTAAAAAAAATATATCAAGTCCTTGTTAAACCTTCAACTGGAAGGACGGTTGCCTTGACACTCATCCGATGTTCAGGGCTTTTGTCACGGATGACGGAAAGACGACACTTCAGCGTGCAGAGATTAAAGAACAACACGCGTGCATTTGATTGACGCGCTCAAGATTACAACCTCCCAGCCAATTTCAATCTCTTACTGGAATATGTGCCAGTATTTTCTATTTCAAGATGTAACAGGAAAGGCCCTTTAAACTTGCGATTTTTGCTGCGATTTTATGTGCGATTCTCTTCTTTTGATAGATGTGAACGAGTGGATTATAGTTACGAGTGCTATAAGAGCTTCTTTCGACACGGGTAGTGTCGCAGCTCCTCGCAAGAATGATTTTCATTGGCTGAACTTTACAATACATTTCTGTTTCAACCAATAGCATAGCTTCGTTCAGATAGCATAGAAAAGCATTATCGAATTGGACGAAAGCTTCCGAGCACTGCGACATGTCCCTTCGACACATGCGTGAGTAGGTCTCAACACAAAAACAAGAAAAACACGTTAAAGAATTACAAAGGGGGGTTCAGCTCAAATATATTGGAGACATGAAAAGTTGATCCTGGAGCAATTCTCTTAAAATACTGATTCTGCAGGCAAATTCTACTTTTTAAAAGCTGGTATACAATTCGGCTATACATAGCTGCAATAAACGTGCTTGAGTCGGCTTAGGCAAGCAGCAGAAAGTATAGAAAAAAAAGTTAGGAGAAAATTAATATTCACACGATTTGCCCTTTTTATGTTTCCTAGCTCTTTCTATCAATTATTAACAACAATAAATATAGTAATACAACCATAATACAACATGCAATTCCAACACACACACTAACTGTTCCCGCTTGGTCATGCACCGCAGTGAAAATCGGGGAAAATTACGATGCAGTTTTACCAACGACGACGATTGTAAACTTTGTTATTTACATTTTGTTTTATCTTTCATGAACAATGCCTTTGTTGATGAGAACCTTGCTGTAGCCGTTGCATTGGCCAAACTTTCTAGTATTATAATATAGCAACGGCAACACCTATCATGTAAACATTGGCTCTCGGTAAAAATAACAGAACTCTGAGCGAAAAAATCTATTCGATATTAGGTGTATGATGTATAAACGCATGTACACAATTGATTACCAACATACCTTGGAGGCTGTAACAAATCTTTGATTCTGAATCTTTCCCGACTTGTTTGTTAGTTCGCTCGATGCAAGAGAACTTGAAGTAATGACCTTTTGGCTTTGCACGTCCAAATACATACGACCTCACAATAAGGTGCACTGCCCTTCGTCGGAAACAGGCCAAAGCGTGCTCTTGAGATATTGTCAAAGAATCTTTTAATCTGTGGAATATATTACATGCAAGATGAACAAATTGGGTGAGGGACGATTTAGTGTTCTCGCTATTAGGCCTAGGTTGTACGTAGCATTTTGATAATAAGATAATCAAACTCATTAAGTTTCATTACCATTGCATCATCTATTTTTCATAGGCAAATTGCATTCGAGGCGAGCAAATGCGACGTATAACCTAGGCCTTATTTACTACATTCAATCATTTATGCAGGTAAATCCTTCAGAGTTGTATTGATGACTTCTTTGATCTCACAAGGAGATATAAAGATACCACGACAGTTCAAGAGCACACTTGAAATGGTAGAACCGCAGTTTCATGGTGAGATGTCATAAAAGGCACAGTTAAACTTTCCGAATGCTTGCAAAGAAATGCGCTTTTTTTGAACGCACATACGGCTATAGGTAGTATGGCCACTTTAAGCACAAGGATGGTAAAAAATATTCGCCCGTAATTTAAAGTGACGATTAAAAGATCCGAATATTTCACAATGCTATTTTCTCCGCATTTTACAACGATTTCCGACCAAACTTTGTAATTTTGTAGTATTCTTTATAAACTGTTGGGGGTCATGTCGTCTTTGTTCTTTTGACGACTAAAACGAAACCACAACGGAAAAAAGCGAGACGATGCACCCGCCTTAATCACAGAATGTTCTCCACAACCAAGATTGAGCTAAAGTTTTCATGAGTATTTTAATATACTCACAACTCAAATAAGCAAGAAGTATAACTGCTTTGCATGTGAGAAAAACTGTAGCAATGAATTTGCAAGCTTCGTAGTGTAAGCTTGTTAACCCAAGCTGAACCTGGGTTATCTTAAACCCAGGTTAGTTTTTAGGTGTAACAACACTTAATCCTGGTTAGTTTGAACCTTGCTTTGAAGGTGGGTTCTCTCTGGCTCGAACCCGGGTTCAGAACCAATGTAAACAAACCTAAATATAAATATATACCAAAATGGACATGAACACATCCATTTTTTAAGCAGTTGACAGTAGAAATAAAATAAATTGATATTGTTATTAGTTATAAGTATCCTGTTAAGGTGGCTCCCTAGAGTTTTGTAAAAATTCTAGATAGCAGATTTTTGTACCCAATTAAACACCGATATTGTGAACTAAAGATCTATAATATTTTGATTATTGACGGTTATCTATGAAAGCCGTTGCTATCAAACACGAGGATACTTATATCACTGATCCCGGATTGCTACCGGGGGCTCGGAGCAGGTCAAATTTTGAAGCTAATGAAAGAAAGCGGCTTTTTTAATGTCTGAGCCCTGAATAAATATACCAAATCTATCAAATTAATAATCATTTACTAATAATCGTTGCTTCATAACGGCAAAAGAAGATGTCGTGATGAGTGGATCCGGTACCGTGTGACGCAGCTTAAGAGAAATACAGTTGTTTAATATCTGTTAGAGAGTTTGATTACAATTTTGCTGGTATCAAATTGGTGGCAAATGTAGAAGCATTCTAATAAACACCTTACCGTGACAATCTCACCGCAACAACAATGGGGAATTTCGTTTCGTTTTGTTGAAATTTTCAGTAAACCAATCAAAATGCATAAATCTTGACTACTTCCGGTAAAAGGTTACATCATTTGCCATCTCACATGAAGTATTGAAAATTTAGGAATTCGTGTTGGCTGAAAAAGTAAACAAATATGCGGATTTTTTCAAAACGAAATTCCCCCTTGTTCACCGCACCCATCAGCTTCAATTGGGCCGAATATATAACTAGCTTATGGTAAGTCCCTGTCTCCCTGACAGGAATGTTTTTCTCTTGTTGATTATTATTTCATTTAAGATCCTAGCAAAAAAAGATTACGAAAATAAAAAAGATCTGTAGCTTTTGAGCACAAGTACAATAATCAGGTTCGAATCCAAGAATAACTGTTTTTCATTATGAACTTCGAAAAATGGATAAAGTTGATTAAATAATCGTAGTCGTTCAGCAGAAGATCTCCTGGTCCAGTAGACACCGCAGAAATTGGTGTTGGAAGTCAAATATCTCATCAGTTGCTCACATTTGAATCCTAGTATTCAGAAACTGCTGTCAAAGAAAATACTATCAAATAAGTTGAAAACAAGTACAATTTTTCTTCCAATATCGGTTTTGGAAACTTTTGAAGGCTCTTCGTATGCATCTGCCACCGTAAAATGGCCATTTTGAGACATTTTCAGACATTTTCAGATGATTTGTTTTTGCCGTGTGCAAGCTTCAAATCTTTTGTGCAAGAGATATTTTGTTGAGTATTTATAAATCTTTTAGCTTGCCGAATTTAAAGTCTAAGTATTGAGAATTACGGCTAAGTCTACCAATTTCCGCGGTGTCGGTCCAGTAGCGACGACAATGGTCTCCCAAGTGGTAAGTCTATAGTTCAAGCTCGAGTATTCCTTCTTTTTATTTCCTTCGAAAAAAGGATAGAGTAAATTAAATAACGACAGTCGTTTAGTGAAAAATTCTCGTAGTGTGGTGGCGAAAACAATGGTCTCCAAATTGTTAAGTCAATGGATCAAATCCAAGTATACCTGTTTTTCATTATATCCTTCCCGAAAAGGATAAAGTAAGTCAAATAACCATAGCCGTTCAGCATAAGATCTCGTAGTCCTGTGGCGAAGACGATAGTTTCGCAAGTGGTAAGTCGATGGTTCGAATTCAAGTATGGCTGTTTTTGATTATGTCCTTCGAAAAAAGGATAAAGAAAATTACATAACCATAGTCGTTCATTACAAGATCTCCGGTTGTCTAGTGGCCAAGGCTACGGGTTTCCAAGTGGTAAATGGATGGTTCGAATCCAAGTAAACCCGTTTTTTATTATATCCTTCGCAAAAGAATGAAGTAAATTAAGTAACCATAGCCTTTCGGCACAAGATCTCGTATTTTAGTGACGAATACAATAGTCTCGCAAGTGGTAAGTCGATGTTTCGAATCCAAGTATACCTGTTTTGGATTATTTCTCTCGAGAAAAGGATAAAGTAAATTAAATAACCACAGCCGTTCAGCACAAGATCTCGTGGTCTAGTGGCTAAGACAATGGGTTCGCAAATCGATGGTTCGAATCCACGCTTAACCCTTTTTCATGATGTTCTTCAAGAAGAGGAAAAAGTAAATAAAATAATCATGGCGATTCAGCACAAGATATGTTGGTCTAGTAGTAGAAACAACGGTTTCCAAGTGATAAATCGCTGGTTCGAATCCACGTAAAGCGGTTTTTCATAATGTCCTTTACGAAAAGGATAAAGTAAATTAAATAACCACAGCGGTTCAACACAAGACCTTGTAGTCTATAGTGGCGAGGACAATGGTCTCCCAAATGGTAAATCAAAGGTTCGAATCCTACCGTAAACGTTTTTCATTACATCCTTCGAAAAAAGGATGAAGTAAATTAAATAACCATCGCCGTTCAACACAAGCTCTAGTGGCCTAGTGGCGAAGACAATGGTCTCCCAAGTGGTAAATCGATGGTTCGAATCCTACCATAATCGTTTTTCATTATGAACTTCGTGAAAAGGATGAAGTAAATTAAATAACCATAGCAATTCAGCCCAAGATCTTGTAGTGTTGTGGTCAAGATGTTAGTCTCGCGTGTTGACAGTTAAAGGTTCGAATCTCGTTTTGGACGAAAATTTTCGTTATTAATAAAACGTGGTAAGGTTATGGTGAATAAATTGGTGTAGGCTTCCAACAATCACCAGTTAGCCCTGTGGTGAAGTCGTGGACTATCAAGTACAAGATCGTGGTATCAAGAACAGGACGGTACGTTCCTCATGACGGCGGAAAGAACAATAAAAAAGGTAGGTATGGTAGGTATGTTGCTCGGAGGAGGTTTGTGCTCGATTAATCTTTGCAAATCAAAGTTAATCTTTAGGGAAATCAGGGGATAGGTAGGGTGAATGAGGGGTATATGAGTACAAAAAGACTTAAAAAAAAAAAAAGAAACCGGGCGGCCTCGGCTCCCGGGGCAAGGAAAAGGGTATAGGTGAGAAAGCAGTATATAAAATGATTAAGTCTTTTTGTACTCATTTAAACCTATTTACCCCTATTTATCCTCCTATTCACTCCTATCTATCCCTTCTTTTTCCTATCCTCACATACCCCCAACTATCCCCTAACACAATTAAATGTTTGAAGAAAGCTTGCTTTGAAAGTCAGGAGAGCCGGGGGAAAGAGAACCCCCCTCAGTCTACTCCTCGCCCAAGGCGAGGGCATATTCGCCCTCTCGCACTACTCCTCTCACACTCACAAATTCTCACTTTATTACCTTGTTGTTCTTTTCGGTTTATCCAGGGCTTGAACCATCGACTGTATACTTGGCAGGTCACCGTCTTCACCACTACACCACCAGTTCTTGCGGTGAAAGCCTACAGTTTTTTATTTTACTTAATATTGTTTGGAAGGATCTTAGATGAAATAGAAGAAGAAAAACATTCCCATCTGGGACTCGAACCTCCGCCTTTGAACTCGGAGAGCACTGCCATTACCAGTAAACCGCACGATCTTGTAATGAAAGGCTGTACTTTTTTATATTACTGAATACCTTATGGGTAGGATCTCAAATAAAATAACAATTTAAAGGAGTTCATTTTAATGTTCATGATTTATTTTCTCTTCTAAACCACGCACTTAACTGTATCTTATTCGTAGCTTGTAACCGCATAATAGCCATTTGTGTTCTCGCTAAAATATCAGATACAGGTATGAAGTGCCTTAAAGCACTATTGTGTCCATAAGTTAGTTATATGCCGCGCACATGAAGCTTATGGTTACGGTGCGATTGTTTTGTATTTTTAATGAAGTGAAGTCAAAGTAAAGTACAAGAGTTAACAATGCATTTCAAGATAGGTTTAAAAGAAAAAACTACAAGAATTAAGAATGTATTTCAATATGTATAACACGTATAGTCATGAGGCAACAAGCATGCACCTCGTAGTCTCGTAGATTACATCTGAAATCGCAATTGAAGCAAATATCCAGTTAAGCAGATATTGACTATTTATTTCAAGATTTTGTTGTATAAAGAGTCGAAATACTAGCTTGTCTAGCAGGTTCGTCGAATATAAAATACGCTAAGAAAAATGAAGTTCAGTTCTAAAACGTAATTTCCGCAGTTAACAGCGGTAACAAACAAACAAACAGCAGCTCCACAGTATTACGGCAACGATTCATAATTATTCATTTAAAAGCTCTTCGAAGAAACGACAAACGATGTGGTCGTCAAGCAATTGTTAAGCCGTTGGTCTCTTTACTCCAAAGGTTTAAATATTAGATTAGTGCATTTTATATTCGACGAACTGGCTAGACGAAGCAGGTACAAACAGTGTTGAAGTAAATATTCAATATCTCTTTAACTGGATATTTGCTTATTTGCAATTTCAGATGTAATGCTTGTTGCCTCATGACTATACGAGCTCTACACATTTACTCGAAATCATATACACGGGAAACTCATTAAAGACGAGAAACTCATCGAAGACGGAAAACTTGTCTGGAAGAGAAACTCGTCTTAAATTCGCATTTAGACGTATCAGTAAATCAGACGAGTTTATCGAAATATCAGCAGGGTCAAGGACGGAACAAGGCTACAGAAAATAAACACAATTATCATCGTAATGATCAGTTACGCATTACCCGAACCATGCATCACACGTATAAAATTTCCATAACCCAATTCACATTCAGACGGGTTTTTACGGCTATCAACTTTCCAGTTTCAGTAAGATGAGTATTCGACTTTTCTTAATTTTTGTACTTCACTTTGAATCTACTTCATTAATAATACAAAACAATCTCACCGTAACCATTAGCTTCACTTGAGCCGCATATAACAACTAACTTATGGAAACAATAGTGCTTTAAGGCACTTCATACCTTGTATGTTATATTATAGCGAGAACACAAATGGCTACTATTAGGTTACAAGCTACGAATAAGATACAATTGTGTGCGTGTTTTAGACGAGAAAATAAATCATGAACATTAAAAAGAACTCCTTTAAATTTTTATTTCATTTGAGATCCTACCCATAAGGTATTCAGTAATATAAAAAAGTACAGCCTTTCATCGCAAGATCATGCGGTCTACTGGTAAAGGCAGTGCTCTCTGAGTTTAAAGGCGGAGGTTCGAGTCCCAGATGGGAATGTTTTTTTTTCCTTCTATTTCATCAAAGATCCATCCAAAAAGGATTAAGTAAAAAAAAAACTGTAGGCTTTCACCACAAGAACTGGTGGTGTAGTGGTGAAGACAGTGACCTGCCAAGTGTAAAGCCGATGGTTCAAGCCCTGGATTAGCCGAAAAAGAACAAGGTAATAAAGTGAGAATTTGTGAGTGTGAGAGGAGTAGTGCGAGAGGGCGAATATGCCCTCGCCTTGGGCGAGGAGTAGACTGAGGGGGGTTCTCTTTCCCCCGGCTTTCCTGACTTTCAAAGCAAGCTTTCTTCAAACATTTAATCGTGTTAGGGGGTAATCAGGGATATATGAGGATAGGTAAAAGCAGGGATAGATAGGAGTAAATAGGGGGATAAATAGGGTTAAAGAGGTTTAAATGAGTACAAAAAGACTTAAACATTTTATATGGTGTTTTCTCACCTATACCCTCCCCCCGGGCGCCGAGGCCGCCCAATTACTAAGTCTTTTTGTACTCATATACCCCTCATTCACCCTATCTATCCCATGATTGCCCTAAAGATTAACTTTGATTTGCAAAGATTATTCGAATACAAACCTCCCCCGAGCAACATTTTTACCATTTTTTTCCAACGCCATGAGGAACGTACCATACTGTTCTTGATACCTCGATCTTGTACTTGATAGTCCACGACTTTACCACAAGGCTAACTGGTGATTGTTGGAAGCCCACAACAACTTATTCTCCATAACCTTACCATGTAATATTAATAACTAAAATTTCCACCTAAAACGAGATTCGTACCTTCGACAGTCGACACATGAGACCAACATCTTGACCACTAGACTACAAGATCTTTCGCTGAAAGGCTATGGTTATTCAATTTACTTTATCCTTTTCACGAATTTCATAATGAAAAACGGTTATGATAGGATTCGAACCACCGATTTGCCACTTGGGAGACCATTGTCTTCGCCACAACACTACATGATCTTGTGCTGAACGGCTATGGTTATTTAATTTACTATATCCTTTTCGCGAACGACATAATGAAAAACGGTTATTGTAGGATTCGAACCATTCATTTACCACTTGGGAAACCATCATCTTCGCCACTAGACTACGAGAGCTTTTGCTGAACGGTTATGGTTATTTAATTTACTTTATCCTTTTCGCGAAACACATAATGAAAAACAGTTCTGGTAGGATTCGAACCATCGATTTACCACCTGGAAGATCATCGTCTTCGCCAACAGACTACAAGATCTCGTACTGAACATTAATTTATTTACTTTATCCTTTTCATGAAGTTCATAACATAATGAAAACGGTTATGGTAGGATTCGAACCATGGCTTTACTACTTTGGAGACCATCGTCTTCGCCACTAGACTACGAGATCTTGTGCTGAACGGCTATGGTTATTTAATTTACTGTATCCTTTTCACGAAGTTCATCATGAAAAACGGTTATTGTAGGATTCGAACCGGCGATTTACAACTTGGGAGACCATTGTCTTAGCCACAACACTACGAGGTCTTGCGCTGAACCGCGTTGGTTATTTAATTTACTTGCTCCCTTTCGCGAAGGACATAAGGAAAAGCAGCTATACGTGGATTCGAACCATCGAGATATCACTGGGAAACCGCTGTTTTTGCCACTAGACCAACAGATCTTGTACTAAAAGCCCACGATTATTTAATTTACTTTATCCTTTTTTCGAAGGACATAATCAAAAACAGGTATACATGCATTCGAATCATCGACTTACCACTTGCGAGACTATCGTTTTAGCCACTAGACTGCAAGATCTTGTGCTTACATGGTTACTTAATTTACTTTACCATTTTCGTGAAGGATAATGAAAAACAGCTATACTTCGATTGGAACCGTCGACTTGCTATTAAGAGATCATTATATTCAATTTATTTAATTTACTTAACTTTTTCTCGAAAGTCATAATGAGAAACATAAATGCTTGGATTCGAACCATCAAGGTACCCTTGGGAGACCATCAGTGGCGTAGCCAGCCCGACGATTTTGTCCCGCTTTGTAAATTTCGTGTTATTATAATTATTCATTTCGTTATAAATTCATTGTTTTCACAGTCAATAAACACCAAAATATTAGCATAGCGGGACAAATCCTCAGGCTGGCTACGCAACTGGAGACCATTGTCTTCGCCACTAACTCGTCCAGAGACGTAACCAGGATTTTGAAGAAGGGGGGAGGGTGTTGGTGTGCCAGCAAACACATTCTGGCCAGGATTTTCCGGCTTTAACTTCGCCGGGGGAACCCTCTGGCTCCGCCATAGCTACGGCCTACTCCTCTGCTATCAAGACGGCGGCTGATGATCGTTTTGTATACTTTTACTTTACTATATATAAACTAGTGTTACACATGGTCAGATAACTGAATCTGCATTATCAAGACAGCGGTTTTGTTTACTTTTACTTTACTGTATATAGATTAGTGAAAAAACAAGTCAGGGCACTGAAACTGGACTATCAACAGGGTGGCTGTATATGTTTTGTATACTTCGTCATTATATGTGTAAAAAATCATAATTGAATGTACAAATGCAATGTATATTAAACGCGAGTATGTGTTCATTCAGCGAGACAAAAATCTCTTGCATGGATATCAACCACAAAAAATTTCCATAGAATAAGATGATGTTCATCAGAAATGGGGCCAATATTAGATGATTTGCTGCTTTCTTGGAAATTCTAACATTGACAAACGAACACGGCAGACACGCATTAACCGTTATTTATCGCAATGCACCAGGAGTAGATCAGCTGAAATCTTCCCTGATTATTGTTCTTTCTTGAAGTACACCTGAACCACATCTCCGCAAACGTTTAGCAGGACCTGACCCTGAACAAAAATAGTTACTCAAAATAGTAAATCAACCAATTATTGTGCAACTAAAACTGTTTTTCAAATCATTTATTGCAAAGCAACGTGACAAAGGTTCGTTCTGAATGTTCGTTCTGAAGTTGTGGCAATATATCGCGTTCGTTCTGAAGTTGTGGCAATATATCGCGTTCGTTCTGAAGTTGTGGCAATATTTTGCAAGTATCGCAAAAATTTTTGCGATTAATAAAGATCAACTTAAAATTTTACATTCAAATCTCCGAAATCGAGACATTAAAGAAGAAGTTGTTTTACAAAAGTGGCATAAACAGGAAGATTACGGGTGCATTGTTGAAAACTTCACTAGTTTAACATTGATGCCATTACATACCTGATTCTTATGTGGGCTATCCAGCAGTACCATTTTATTCATACGAAACGAGGTCAGCGCATTCCCTCCTAAAGCCAATACTTGTGCTCTTACAATAGCATGGACCTCTCCAATGAATACTTGAATAAAATGGTTTAATCCACCGTTCTAAAAAAACACACACGAATTGGACAAATGTATTTAGGTTTGTATGATTACGATTGTTAAATACTGTCCCTGTTGCTATAACCATGTGGTTTGATTGAAGTGAAGATTTGGGTTTTTTCGTTTTCTTTACTTACCTCACGAACAGAAAGGCTTTCACGAATGAAGAACAGATTAATGTTTCCTAAATAACGTTCCGTAGAACAGCCCACGACACACGACATGGGAGTTAGTTCAACCACCGGTCGGAAAGTATCAATATCAGAATGCTAAAAAAAATGCAAAGGGAGTTGATACGATTCCTCAGGGGACGATGAAGCATCGCAGCAGATATCTTGCGCAAAAGACGTATGTATAGGGATGTGGCAGTACTCGCCAGATGAAGACCCTCTAAAATATAGACATTTAACTAAGATATTTCCCTAACGAAGGCACATCACATCTCTCTAATACCGACACCTCTCCAATACAGACATCTCGCTAATACAGATATCTGTGTTACACAGACACCTCTCTAATACAGACATCTCTCTAATACCGACATCTCTTCAATACAGACACCTCCATATTACAGACACCTCTCTAATACAGGCATCTCTCTAATACAGACATATCTCTTATACAGACATATCTTTAATACGAATACCTATGTAATACAGACACCTCTCTAATACAGGCATCTCTCTAATACAGACCTCTTTTCAATACGGACACCTCTCTAATGCAGACTACAATCTAACACAGACAGTTTCTAATATAGACAGATATCCTCTGAAATAAACGGCTGTCTAGTGACTTAGCTTCGCTGAAATTACCTTGAGTTTAATTCTGTTCACCAAGCGATGATCTGAATGTTCTAAAAATAAAGATTATAAAAAATAACTGCAAGGCACGTGCACCCTGCTCTGGCTCAGCGCAGTCTCCTGATCTGGCTCGGCGCAGTCTCCTGCTCATACTCAGTGAACCTTGCTTTACCCGGGGTGTTATATGTTTGCTTTACTCTCGCAAATCGAAGTGTAGTTTTTCGTACATTGTGCAGGTCTATCATAGGCATACACTTTTGCGGGGCAGCATACACATAAACACACATTTTTGCGGGACAGCAATGCACACTAAGTATATAGGCTTAAAACGCCTTGCTTTTACACACACGGGCCGTCTGCATTACAATAATAATATACCTTTGCCGCTGGCTCTCTTTTGTTGTAAGTTCTGAGATTCTTCGTCTATTTCGAATTGTAAATCCTCTGAATCGTCGGGTTTTCCACATTTCAGAAGACCACCTGAGATAAAATAAGAACAATGTACCAGGACTTTGAGCTTCATGCATAAAAAATTGCTGGCAACTCTGGACAAATATTGAACTTCCTGTCTAGAACTTTATTGGTTTTAAGAAGAAAGAAGAAACATGCTCCGAAAAACAGCATTTTTTTAACAAGATATGACTGTTAGGAGCATTTGCATGCTTTCATATGCTTTACTTAATTAGTCAACTACGCTAAACTGGCCTAAATTTTGACACTTTATTTGAGAAAATAGGCAATGCTTTTGTTGCAAAGAATGACGTTTTGAAATAAAAAGGTAATGTTTTTAACGTTCGTCCTTAGTTTCAATAGACAATATAAAAACTAAACTCGTTGTTTCTACCCCTCTTCCTGAACCAGCATTTCTTTTTTCTATTTGCTTACCAGGTTTTGAAGCTGGTAAGCCGCTGGAGTCATGTTCCCTGAACCCAATTATATAAGCATTGACAGCAACCTAAAGAATAAAGTGGCATAACGCTTTCTAACACCACTTTGCCAGGAGTAAATTGAATGAAATTTAAAGAATTTTTTCCCCAAAGTAAATATTTAATGGCAGGATAATAAATTTTTAACAACTTTTGTTAAACTCAAAGAAGTTGTAATTACTTTTCTTCCTTGCTTCGAGCTACAAATTTATCAATCAATTCAGCTGAGATAAAGATGCACTTTACGTTTTTTTGTTGCGTGTTAATATTTTTACACAATATTCGTCAAATGTAGGCAAACGCTATGCAACAAACAGCGGTATTTGCCTTCAACTTGGAAAATTATAAATTGGATTCCGGAATCCACCAGTAATGTGGAATCCGGAATCCAGCCGAATCTAATGAGTGCATGGAGTCCGAAATCCAAGCAGTGGAATCCGGAATCCAAAAACCTCTTGGATTACCTTACATGGGCCGAATTCAGTCATAAACTCCGATCTTGACTGACTGTGTACCGTAATCATAGAAATAATAGACATAGATTGCATGCTTCTGTACCTTCCAAGTACGCAAATTGACGCCACATTAGCTATTCAAAATGGCCGATTTATAAGGGCAAATATAACTCTCTCCATGACTTTTTCGCAAGATGCGCCGCGATATTAACGTTATTTGGATGTTGGTGGAACGAATCACCTTTATTAGATTAATGGAATTTTTAATGCTCTTGCCCGCTCCTAGGATAAATCAAAGATGGCCGATGTATAAGGGCATTTTGACTTTCATTTTGGACACCGGTCACATGACCAAGCACGCATTCTATATCTACAATTTCGATGACCGTATTCTGATGGTAGCTACACATTAGTTAGCTTAATCTAACTTGATATTAGCTGGTCAATACGCCATTTCCGGGTTTCGCGACGCCATCTTGCGCCTGGTTCGCATACAAAATTTAAATCAATGAAATCCCCTTTAGTTTAATTTGCAATTAGGACATGCATTAGTGAACCAGGATATGTAAACAAACATTCAAGCAGGCATCACAAACCCGCGAAAAGCTTTCTTTCTTTCATATTGCAAAAATCTTCAGTTACGCTAAATAACGATATTCACTAGCCACAAATTCGCCTCAAACATCACATGTACTTCTTACCTGTACACTATCCGCCATTGGTATTTCTATGTCGAAACGAATGTTGGAAATTGAACAGGGTGATAAACGGCGAACTTTGAACCAAAAACTCTAAAAACAGACCGTTGTTTTCAAAATGTGGCATTAAAAATATTATTAAAGGTTACATTGGATTTTCAGAAGACCGATAGCAAATTAGAAAGGTTTTGAAAAGAAAAATTAATCTTTATTTAGCAGGAAAGAACGTGCTAGGTTTGTTAATCTTGTTTTTGTTAGTATCAGTTTGGAAGAACTGGAACCCATTTTTCGTTCCACAATATTTTACGACTAAACGCTGGGAGATTACTAAATTTAGGATGCTCTATGAATTTGTTTTGATATATTTTTCTTCGAAAATTCTTTTAATGGATTAATATTGATAATAGAATAAAGGCGACAACGGCTTGAAAAAAAAAGAGAGGTTACCTTAACAATACTTTCAAACAACTTTGAGACCAGTCTATTTTGATCGTTGTTCTCATCACTCACTGCAATTCGTTTGACGGCAGTGATCATCTATAATTAAGCAAGTATTCGCCATGTTAACCAACTTACTGTAAGTCAAAGGCGCTTAAAAAATTGTTAAGAAATAACCTGCATTCTCTGCTCAGCTTTAGCGACTCCAGGTATAACCTCTGTGGTACAGCAGTAAAATCCTACAATATTAAGTAAATGATCATTCTTGGATAAAAGAATTGCATTTTAAACACTACTTTAACGTTTTCGTAAAATAAAATTGGTCATAAAATTAGGACAATATTTCGTGGGAAAAGGCCTACAATATTCCAAACTGCACATGCAGCGTTTTTTTTATTTGGGCCGAAATGTGGTTGAGGCCAACTTTGAAAAGAGAACTTTCAAAAGCAGACTTTACTAAAGTAACAGGTGCAAACCTTCCGGTGTTGGTGCATCGAAAAGATACGTTATGACGTCTTCATCTTGTCGGTCATCGATCTATAAATAGCAATTACGTGATCACAAAAATATTCGACAAAAAGAGTTTCGAAATAGGGATTTTAAGTTCTTAAGAGCAGATATAGTTTCAAGGTTTAAATTCTGCAGTATATATAGCAGGTTCATTGTATTTTGTCCTATTATAACTTTATATTCAGTCATTCAATTCTCTATTCTTTAATGCATGGGTTTATCAACCAGTTAGCTTTGTTTTTATGTTATATATATTCTTGTGTTAAACTAAATATTTCCTAATACTCTGAATTATAAGGAAATGTAAACAGAGAATGAAACTGGAACTGTCATGAATGTTACCTCGATAACAAACGCTTCCCTATTCCCAAATGAGGGATCCAATATTGTCTTTTCCTCTGGACTCTCACTTGAAACCATTTCTGACTGGCAGATATTACTGGTTAAAGAGGAATCCTGAAAACAATTTTGTAGATAATTTATTTCCTTATTTGCTAAATTGATACATACATGTGAATAACAGGCTTTTAAAAATCTCTCTTGGGATAAGTATATATAACATATATAATGATTTTCAAGCATTTTGATTATTGCATGGCGAATGGTTGCGTTTTTTCTGATCAGATATTTCATATACATACATTATAATTTCATAAAAGAATATATCGTCGATCAAATTTCTCAAGCAGGAATTGAATCGAGTTTCTAGCCTACCTGTTTATCGCTATCAATTGAACCTTTGTTTATATTAGAACATCATAAAATCTAATATTTAATGCATTTTTTGTTGATATTTCCGAAATCGATGATGCTTAGAAACGTAGCTTACATAAATTTCGTCAATTCCACAGGAAACTCTGTTTTTAGCACTAAACTCCAAAATCTTCTTCTGAATATTTTTTAATCTTTTCTCGTCATCAGCTGTCGACGTCTGAAAGGAAGGATGATTTAGAATCTATCCTAAAAACACTGTAACCTCTGAAATATAGTACGTAAAACATACCTTTCCAGCGACACGAAGGATTGGCGCAGGAGGCAAGCACGACAAGTAGACAGCTGTAGCAGTCTAAAAGACGAAGAAAAGTTTGCTAGGGACTTGCTCAGAGACAGTTCAACGCATTTTACAGGTTACATAAGAAATAGGTTACAGAAATATAGGTACGTTTGCAGAGCACATCACAAGATTCAATTAAATAGATAATGCCAAACTGCATTCCTTTTTCTTTTTATTTACTATAAAAGCAATAACTGCATGGTCAAAATTCCAAAAACCATAACATTCAAAACTCGACTATCCAGATATACAGGAAAAAATAAAAAATTGTGCATTGTTCCTATGAATTTTTTAAAACAGCGTGGAAGAGATGTGAACATATTTTATCTAGGTGACATATTTTGGTTTTATCAAGGTTGAGGAGAGAATTGACGCGTAGTCAATATATCTAGATCCATAATTTTAATTACCCCAATAGCAATGATCATAGATTCACCAACAGAGATTTGAATTTGAAGACCAAACAACGCATTCATCCCCTTCAGCTAAATAAACATGAATTTAACACGTTTTGAAGCATTTCTTAAAAGAGAAATAAAATTATTGGAGTCTTGCATGGTGTAAAATTATGGTAGAAAAGTTAAGTAAAATTTTAATATAGAAACCTTCAGTTTATTTGTTAATTGACGGTGCAGTTCATATTCCATAAATGGGAGGATCTACAGAGTCAAATCATTAAAACTTTGAATAATATACCTCATCATAGGGCAAGAAGATTGCTGTATTGTCTATCTATTTAATTTTTACGTGCGACTATTTATGTTGCTCAGACTGTCAAACATACATTGCTGGTCAACTCTGCATTCGCTTCACCTTTTTCTTTTCTTCTACTTCGACAAACTCTAAGAAAAAGATCATTTTTCATGAAGTCTGATCCCATACACGAGGAATTAGAATTTTCTCATAAACATTCAAAATTCATGAATGAAATACCTTCCTTGCAACAGACATCCTTTTCCATTTATACTAATATCATGTGGCAACTCCGTTGTCGAAAATAACACATCGGGAACTTTTCCTTGTCTAAACGACGAGAGCAGGTTCCAGTTTGAGAGATTAGAATGGTTTCGGAGGAGATTTAGAAATAACAGACGTACACGTTTGGTGCTTTTGAAAATTCACAGGTTTAAGAGTTAAAAATTTTACCATATAGTGATGCATTAACTTTCTATAAACAGCTGAAAAACACTTCGAATATTGGACTGTGCTTAAAGTAACTTTTGAAAATTATCCAAAACTTTCCAATAATGTGATAATCAGCTGCGCAGCATGTTATAACGTGTAATAGCGGTTTAAATTTTATCAAAAACTATCCAGGCTAGTAAGACGAAGCAAGTGTTCAGTTCTAATACAAGGATTGCTGTAAAACTTGCTACTCACTTGCAGAGGAGACATTTTGTAAGATGCACGGGTATTGGAAGGTCGTTCTCCATGTACGGGATATGACAGATCGAACAACCATTATGAGGAAATACAACAAAATCGTCTGTTGGAGTAATACTAAAAATGCGCAAAAAATTAAAACGATGGAGAGACATTAATTACAAAATTTTGTTCTTTTTCGGAGGATGTTTTTTCTTATATTTCATTAAATTTTCCGCTGGTAAACGCATTCTCAATAACACGCTTTAACTATCAACAAACCTTAGGTGTACAGGCGCTGTCTTAGACGACGAGTCCGGATTTGAATGCGAGTCCGCTTGTGAAATATTTTCTCCAGAAATTTTCGAGTGTCTAGCTGCATGGGATGATATAGAAAGAGACAAAGTTTTGATCAATATTTATGTCCACATAAGCTAAATTTAGATTCTGCTTCCCTCTATTGGCATGGCAAGGTTCCTTCGGTTTGGGACAATCGAGAACACAATGACAAAGGTTGCCATTATAGTAAATCATTAAAAAATGAATGAAATGATAAAATTAGCAAGTAATTGTCCTCGCTCAAAGATAGCGGAATATTGGGATAAATTATGACATAAAAATGCCAGGTTTGCGCTACTGGGATGACTAACCTATTGCTTTGATCTCGCCTTCAAAATCCACACAAGCCGCCGTTCCAATGGCAGATAACACGATTAATTCTTCACTATAAATTAAACGAGTTGAGGTTTAACGCTACTTACATTAAGCAGCCAAAGTGTCTCAAAATTACACTTTTTTGCCCATAATTTAACACACAATTTACAACATTTCCATTAGTGTTAAAAACATATTACACATGCATAAGCCTCTGCTAACACGAAGAGATTCGCTTAGAATAGTTAATTCATAACTATTCCCAAATCCATCCTACCAAACTTTGCCAAAAGGAAGGTGTTGTGCGATATTGCGCATGAATGGTTGTATTAGTTAGAATCTTAATGTATGCAAATTACTGTACATAAGCCTAGACACATTCAAAGTAATAAATAGATAGACTTCACCTCTGCCTGAAGCAGTGGTCGGCATTTAGAACAGAAAATTATAACAGAAAGGTATACGTAATCATTGACACTGTCTTACCAAATCGTGGTCGATTCGGAATACCCCACAACAGCATGGCAGCCAAGAGCCATAGCATGTGACCGAATCTCAGTTCGTATTTCTCTCCACCACGAATCTCTTGTTTCAGGCTCATCTGAAAGATGAAGAAATTAATGGTTAGCGTATCTGACTTGCACAAAAGATACTTCTATAAAAAACCGAGGTTTAGAACCCCGAATTGCGATTGTGCTGAATACATTAAAGACAATTGAAGACAGTTATTAGGTAAAAATGAAAATAGTTTATATTCTATAAGCGTTGTTCCAAAAACTAAAACAAATCATTTCACAACCCCTCGTTGTCGCGAGGCAAAAGATTTCAGAGAGAGAGAGTTTGTTAACCAGCCTTTTAATCACATCAAGTGAACAGCATCAATTATAAAATTAGTACCAATTTAAAATTGGTCACCTCATTTATTGCACCAATTTTTTATATTGGGTAAAATGACTAAAAACTTGGCTAAAATACCGATTGTTTGTTCTTTGATCAAAAAGAGATGAATCTGAGACAACCATGCAATTTAGAATTAGTTGTTTTTTTAACAATCTGTTTTTACAAAGTAAGCAGCTGATATCGGATACCGAAAGAATCTACAACGCGCTATCGGTGGTTTGCGATTGCCGCGATCTTGGTGAATTTTCAAAACATGTGCCCAAATATTTTTTCTCGTTACTGTAGAGATGAAAAACAAGAAAAAAGTAAATCAACGCAGATTGTTCTCTTTAAAAGCAGAAGTAAACTTTGTAGAGTCAACCAAAATGGCGCCAAATGACAGATTATGACGTCATATGAAAACCAAGAATATATCATCAAATTCTCTTTGATTGCAAAAATATCTTCACACTTCTTTACCTGGATTATAAATTCTGTCCAACAGTTTCACAGATCGAGCGCTAACCACTCCTCCAACGCTTCGTAGAAATCGAGGCGGGAACTTGGTGAGGGTAAAGAATGGGAATTCCTACAAAAACGAATTCAAAATTTCGCATTTCATGAGACAAAGAACGTTTATATTCAAAGCGTACTTTAAAGTGCCTATATCACTGGGATCTTTACGTGGGATCTTTACGGATTTGAATAGGGCTTGAAAAATTTGTTTATAAGTTCTACAACCTTTTTTGATATAATTAAATAGTTTTGAAAATACGTCGGTTGGTTGATTTTTTCTATATTTAGGCCCAATTAAAACTTATTTAATGGTTTATATTTAATTTAAGGTTCTATATAAGTAAATCCAATGACGTTGTGACTTACTTATTGAAAAAGGTTGCGACTAACCATTTTTATTATTATTATTATTTTTATTACGTCCATGTATATGATTACTATTGTTTAGTCGGCAATGTAGAAATTCGCTTTTAGAAATGGGGTCTCTTAGAATGGGGTCTTTAGAAATCTCCTTCGTTCTAACGAAATATTTGATTATGGTAGATTTCAATTTATTGCATTACTTATAAGGGAGATGGACGTAGCAAAATATATTAAAATATATTGTTTATGGTATGTGAAATAACGTTGCAAAAGAGCACGTCAATCGAATATTACAAATTTAGAGTCTACTAATAAATTAAGCCCATTTAATTAAAGTAGTATATGTTTTATTAACACTATATGCTTCAAAACATTATGAAGATCGGGTGTAATAAAACTCGATCGCAAAGCCATTTAATCTATTGGAAAAATATACCTCTTCCTATAAATTATTCTAAATTTTTTTACACTACAAGAACACACAGAATCTATATAATTAAAATTCCCCCAAAATCTTAGAAAATATACGATCTGACTGTGCGCAATTTAGTATACAACTCAATTTGCTTTGACAAGAAATATGAATATTTCATAAATTGAATATTACAAGAAACAAAAAATTGAATATTACAAGAAACCCGAATATTTAAACCTCTTATGTATATGTCTTGCGAGTAGCTTTATTTCTCCTAAAGTTACTTAATTAAGCTTGATTATCAGCGGTAAAGCATCGCATTGCAGAGAGGAATACTATTTGTACGTATTATAAGTTTCTAAACTATGATTCATTCCATTCATATTCTGTACTCGTCGTCGTGTCGCCGGCCAACATGTCAAACATCTTCCTCCATTGTTCCTGAGTTTTTCCATTTTGGCAAACGTGAAGAAAATTAGTATTGTCAAGAAACACTGTTTCCAGTCGTTAGACTTGCCAGGGATCGGATGTCCGTGGTTGAAGCAGTGAAACAGTGAATAAACAATGATTAAGTCGAGAAGACGAATTATCTTGACAGCAACTTAATAATATTCACTGGACGAGATTCAAGTTAAGTCAGTCAATAACAAAATACGTAAAACGGTTATCATTTTGACTTATCCATCTTTTAAACTGAACGAGCTTTGAACAACTTTTGCCTGGGCTTATTCACTTCGAAATCAGTGGACATCATTTTCAACTTAACAAACTTTTCACCGTTTCTCTGAAGTTACTGTTTCGCCAGAACAGGAGACAAGGATTCAACAAGCAGTTTGAATGCATCAGGGTGGTGCAAACATCAAACAACACAATATACAAATTATCCAGAGCCCAGGGTTGAATAAATTTCCTCAGCGATATCGCCAAAGCTAGTGAATAGCATCCCAGGAGACTGGTTGTTACAACAAAAGCGGTGACTGTTGATCTGAGAATCTTTCTTCTTTTCACACACCCTCGGGTTGCTGGTGTTTGACTCATCTGGATAACCCTCCGATGCCGAGCCACAAGCTTACACGTCCAAGTCCAGGTAAAAATGACAGTAAGAAACGTCACTGGTACGATACCAATCAAATAATAGGCGATGAGCGATACAGTTTTGAATATAACAGAAACTAGTGCCATTGTCCCGAACGCCAAACAGGATGTAATTGCTATTCTGCACAAGCGACGCTTAGTGATTAAATTCTGGGAGCGAAAAGGATACGCCAAAGTTACATAACTTTGTAAACTAAGTATGGTAACCGTTAACAATGACATTCCAAGGAATATGGGAGATATGATGTAGACGATATCCCAAAGGAAACAGTCTAATCTTCCCATCAATAAATAAACTTTAGCTGATATGTATGTCGGTTGAACAAAAGCTGTCACGCCAATGTCAACGAGGGCGAGCATCAGGAAGATCGTGTTTTGAACTGTTCGTAGACGTCCGTTACGGAGGTAGGCGATAATCACCAAAGCGTTTGCTTGCGTTCCGAAAAAAAATATGAGCACATTGAACATCAGAATGGCACCTTGTACGGTCACAGTTCGTATATCGGTGCTCAAATACATAGTAATTCCAATACAAGTGATGTTGTAGGGCACATGTTGTGCTGAATTAACTGCCATCGTAATATACGTCTCGCTTGTTTGCCTTTATGCTTGCTCTCAATACGATATGGCGGATAAATAGCGTTTGTCATGCGCAGATAAATCCTTGCATCACTTAATTATTATTACGTTTAATGAAAAGCATACATGCATTCATATTAATTAAACAGGTGATTATTGAAAACACTCGCCGCTGACGCGAAAACACTCGCGACGAATTGCTTTTCAAATGATAGATGAGGGTATTATAAACAATCTTAATGAAAATGCTGTATCTTAAAGCTCGATTTCGTCTACAAACTCATCCAGCGATATTTGTCGAGAAGTTCGCTTCGTCAACGGCGAATAATTGTTAAATATATAGAGAATATTATATGCCATATTTTGTTCGTTATATGAACAAATCACAAGCTAACGACAATTCTTAGTAACTCAAAAACAAATATGTATTGAAGAGCACACAATTAAAATAACAATGTTCAGTAAAATACCCTTATAGTTATAGTCTCTTGAACGTGTATATAAATATGGTATGAAATAAAAAAACGAACAAAAGTGTGAGCTAGAAAGATTTTTTGATTGGTCAAACGTATTTCCTACGCAGTTTTTGATTAGCTTGCGAAAATGATATTTTTACACGTATAAATATCGTATTTTTACGTGGGTTTAAAGACGATTTTTCTCGGCGGCGTAAAACTCTATATAACACTCATGTTCATATAATAAAATCCATTTAATTGAGTTTTTATTAAATATATCATTGAATATTAAACACAATGTCAATGTTCATTATGCTAAATTTCGTTTTAGTTACGGATGGGGGGATAAATTGATTGCGACAGTTCTTAACACTGCACAAAATGTTTCTCAAAATGAATTTGATAGTTGTAGATAATATTTACCAAAATATTGATATCAAAGCAAAGCAATCAAATTGCTTTTGACAAAAAACGTCGAAAAGAATATTCGTTTGTTATGACTGTTTAACTATATTTTCCTGAAAAGCCGCGTGCTTAAATTAACAGCTGGTCCACGTGCAAAATACGTGCTCCCCTTTTAATGCGCACGCAGAAATGGCTACCACTTTTCGGCTGAAAATGGGAACAATCTTCAAGCTTCGACCAGCTAGGCTACCGATCTTTTCCGCACTTTGCAATTGAACGCAGCGATTTTAACAATATTTCAATACTCCTTTTCAATACTCAATTTCATGCTCCTTCTAGCTGTAGTAGTTTATTGCTATACCTTCTTGCCCAGATAAAATATAGTCTAACATGCAAATTGTCCATTAGTATCAATATTTACACATCAGTGCATTGTTGTCTAAGGCATAGTCTCGAAGGGTACTAATTCCGCCCGGATATTAGGAATTACACCCGGGTATTGTGACAGAACATAGCGGAATCCAAAGTTGCCCAAATTCTGTCATGGACCGTGGCCGTTGGACGTTCAATCGTCATTAGAATTTGTGCGCATGCGAACATTTGAACGAGTAAAGACTGGTAATTAGTAATTTCCTGATTGGCTAAGACAAAATATTTGTATTACAATGAGAACGTCAGCAATTATCAATCATTTTTACTCTTTTCGTACCGAATGATAAAAATGTTCTATATATCGACTGGTTTGAGTAATTTCATAATATAAGCTTTGGTCTGCCTTGCTCAGGAAATTATTAGTTTCTTGGTCCGAAATGGCAAGGAATGCACATGTATTCTAGTTTTAGGCATTCACAAGGCCTTGTGAAAACATTAGAAAATGTATCGGGGTGTGATTCGAGATTAATCTATGACGCATAAAGGTAATAGACGCTACATCTGTTCTCGGTCAGTTTATAATTATGACGAGGTTTTTATGAGTTGATTCCAAAGTTATATACATACACCCAGACGTACATATAGATACAAACTTTGCGTAACCATGCACGCTAGCCTAAGCAACGTAAAAGGTTGATTTTTAAATCAATGAAAAACTTAATATTTGCACTTTGAGTTATGTAAACACAAATAAGGTTGTTTGTACAACAGCCACAGCAAGATACATACCATCTATATGTATTTTGCCTATATGGGAAAAGCAATTGGTTCTTTGAGACGACGTTTATTTCATCTCTCTTATATACAACTTACAATATTATTTTCAAGGCGATTGTCATCTCATTTCACGTAGTTGGAAAGATTACCTCACATCGCATGTGTTTTGTCCAATCATGAATCATGACGAATTTTTACGCACTAATCTTTCTAATCTTCTGAAAACTTGCGAAAACTTCCAAATATACACCTCCGATCTAGGTATTTGGTGGTATTATGGGTATATTAATAGTTATATATTTCAAAAAAGGCCTGTTCATGCACTAAACTCAATCTATTGGCACGGCATGGCTAAAATGGTACCCATGGAATTTCACCCGCGCTCGGCCTTTTGGTAGCCTTTTGGTAGAATTTTCTGCCCTCGGCCTTTTGGTAGAATTTTCTGTTTGCCCGGTTGGTCATACTTGTGTAGAAGAACAAACACACACACACATATATATAATATATAATATATATATATATATATATATATATACAGGGTGTCCCAAAAAAAACGAAAACTATTGAAATCACTCATTGTTAAAACTTGAATGCCGTGTTCACGAATTT